GCTGAATTGCACAAAACGCATGATCGCACCGGCTAGTCTGGTGCGCGTTGCCATTTATTTTTCTCTTTACTGCTATCTGCAGTTCTTGCTTCGAACTCCTGACTAGCATCCTTTTTCCCCTCCTATATCCTGCCCCCAGTTCCTGCCTCCAGAGCCGCATCAGGGCACCTACCACCTCCCACCACTGTCACTGTTTATCGTCTTGAACTTCTAGCCAACAACTTCATTCCTCCCCATTATTTTGGCCTCAGTCTCACCCTCTAAGCTGTATCTGGGCAATTACCAACGAACACCCCCAACCACGTTCAGTCTCTCCACCTCTCACCCCCCAGTCACGCGATCCAACCGCCAGACACTGGGTAGCACTACCCAGCGCGTCTGGCAAACTGCCAAGCTGTCCCAGCCAGCGGCGCCGCAAAATAGTGCTGGCAGAGATGTTAGGGTGCTTTCCAAATACCATCGATCACCAGCCGAGCCGAGTTTTTGTAACTGCCCATAAAAATCTGTATGTTTACACGTTAGCAGAACATGAGGCAAATTTATCAACACAGGACCTCTAAGAAAAAAGGCAGGCAACTGTTAACGAACCTTCAGCGTCGTTTAATAACTGGCATAGTTTCTTATAGCGACTTCTATACTTCGTCATTTCCTCCTCGGCTTTCTTTCTTATGTCATTATCCAATTTCTGTTGCCGCAGTACTTCGAGAAGTTTTGTCCGATACAATGCAACTAGCTGCCTTTCTCTCTAAAAAATCTTGAGCATGCTCCCCAAGAAAAATTTCGCAAAAATTTCAAATGGAAGCATCAAGTATTTCGAAAACTGTGCAAAGAAATCTGCTTATCAAACTAGGCGAAAGTAGTACCACATCACGTACTCAGTTGGCTATTATCAAGAAGCGCATACTGAGACCATTTACAAGTAATACCTCGATCAACAATCCACAATGTGTCATGAATGAGGTGATTACTAGGAAGAGCCCAGCAATCGGTGTAGGTTACGTGCTTCTAAATTAAAAACCGTCACAGGAACATGCGTGCCACCTTTTCGGGAGCCGACTGAAGAGTCGTCAGTTTTGCCAGAAGGATCACTAAGTTATATATCTACCGAACGCCACCAAAACAGGCAAAATAATCTGTTCAATGACTTTCATTCTTTCCTCTGGCCATAACGATATCATCTACGCCCTTCATCTGATACTCCCCTAACTGTTTGTATAATTACGACAAGACACCTCAACCACCTCCCAGTTCATCGCTCCCTCCATCAAAACATCGCTTACTCCTCAACTCTAGTTTCGCATTCGAAAGATTATATCACTCAACCACAACAAAATTTCGATATTGCAAATGCAGCATTGTGTGGGTAACAGACTTACAGATGTCGTGGATCCACCAGTTTTCGTAAAGAGATTGGAAGCCTCTTTATCGATATCGGCAGTCAGCAGTTCCGCACTGTCGCTTTCTGCGCCCCGCTGCTCCTTCTCCTTATTAGATTTCATAGCCTAAAAAAGACACCTTACAGTCATGCCAATTTTATGTACAGTTCGAATTCAGGACAAATATGAATAGTGGAAAAGCCCAAGTCGAGCTAATATATCGAGAGCCGAGCTAATATCGCTTTTGTGCATTCTGATTACAATTTTATAAATAAGTTACAAAGCATTTCTTACGCAGCATAAAATTTAGCCCACAACATTAGTTTTTCAAATTTCCGGCAAAGCAATGATATATTACTTCCAGCTAAAATGGCACGCCCTTCCGCATGTGTCACAGGGATGGAAAGTTTCGCGCCTTCTGAATAAATTTCGTTTTTTATCACGTTTAACACTTTTCCGTCACTTTCAACGCTGCTTTCATTTGATTGAGCATTTGTCGGCCTGAACTCGATGCATTTCAGTTAAGTCTGTATTACTATTTTTCACAGTGTTTCCTCCAGAAGTAATACACTGGCACTTTGCTGGAGCAAAATGGAATCACAAATCTATCGGAACATGCTACTACTGTGCAAGAAAACAAAAAATCTTTCAGCCTTTTTCTCACAGAAAGCAAGCCTTTCCCGCTGGATAGCAACTGTCTTCAACAACCACAAGCAGCTAAAACAAATTAGGCCCGGTACCAGCCGCCATCAGTCGATAGAGCTAGACTGATCAGCAAGAGACATTCCAAGTGGATTTTTAACATTGCTAGCCAACACTTCGTTGTAAAACACAAATGGAGTGTGAAAGGAGAAAGATATACCATTTCTAGTGATGTTTCCTGAGAAGGAGATGCTGCAGAAATCGCCATCTCACGGCTTAATTCGAGAGCTGTTTGCAAATCCTGCAACAAAATTAATTGGCAACTGCCAACTGGCAATTATTAACTCATATTTGTACGAACCTCACTGATGAGTTGACGGTCTTCGATTAAAAATTTTGAAAGGCTAAACTGCTGGGCGACATGATAAGTTTTACGAAAGCGCTCTGCCCACAATTCGACGTGGGACTTGCCCAATTCGCTGAACTTCGTGTACTTATTTTCCTAAATGGAACAATCTAGATGAACAATGAGTTAGTATGAAGCTACAGAGGACAGGGCAGAAGGGCATTACAGAAGATGCATTTTACAACGCAAACTATAATGCAACACTTTTCAATTCAATGCAACACTTTTGTCCTTTCAATTCTCATAAAGTACCAAGCTTATTAAGGAAAAGTGAATGGTAACTCAAACAGTCAAGAAACGATATACTGCAGGTAATAACAAGCTACAATATACTCGCGGAGAAGTGTTGCAGCTCCGACTTGACGTGAATAATACTATCAAGGCAGAGTACGGTGGAAAGAGAAGCGGGGGCAATCAGATGGCAAAAAAAATGGACAAAGTTGGTCATTATTAGACGGGTTTCACTCAAGGTCAACTAACATGAAGATTATCGATGCGGTGAAAGGATCCACCGACGATGTGTCTCAACAATCATATGGAATTATGCGAATGAGAGACTCAAAATAGAAGCTGCCAGCAATACTGACAAGGTAATGATAAAACAAAAGTATCGGAATAAAACCTTCTGGTACTTCCTCTCCAGTATCTCATCACTTTCAGCTTGGGGAGCAACATCATTCTTTACAGAAGCAGCTGGACTCTCATTACTTTCAGACTGCGCAGTAACATCATTCTCTGCAGCAGCACTTGCCTGGAATGCAAAATCTTCTGGTGATGTAAAATGCCTCATTAAAAATATTACTGTATTAAAATACTACTAAAGGTTGAAAAGGAAATATCAGGAGAAGAAGGAAGGAGGAAAAGAATAATAAATAGCAACGCGCACCAGACTAGCCGGTGCGATCATGCATTTTGTGCAATTCAGCCCATCGAACGATTGA